AGATTCTTCCTCCTCGACCGAAGGGGTTGCCTCAGGTGCTCGGGCCGCCGATGAAGATGAGCCCGCCCGAGAGGAGGTCGCCCAAGAGGAGCTGCCCGCCCGAGAGGAGGTCGCCCCAGAGGAACCGGACAAGGCAGGCGCCCATTCCCCCCCATTCCTTGTTAATTAATGGCCTTAAGACAACCCCTAAATACTAAACCTCGACTCAATTCCTTCGGTCTCCAGAGCTTCGAGGTTTCATTACAGGGTCGAAGGTCAGACCCCAAAGCTTGGATCCTAGAGAATTTCTCAATGGACATGACAAACAGGACACCGCCGCCGGCGACACCGCTGAAGCCCGAGCCGCCGAAGCACCCACCACCGGGTTGGCGGAGTCCAGGGCAGCCACCGCCCCAAGGTGGCTCAGGGCGAAGAAGCAGGTCGCCACTCAGGAGGCAGGCACACAGATTTTTCGCCGAAATAAACGATGATTAATTATAAGCCTCCCCAAAAAGCCTCGACTCTAGACAACACCCTGCAAAGAAAACCGTCGTGGGCAACTTTCGGACCCAAGCCGCCAAAACCCCCTAGACATTCCGGAACCAGGGGCCTCCACTTCCTTTCTAACACCCAAGACAGCCCTGCCCAGGACACCTCCGCCAAGCCTGCCGAGCCGCCCGAGCCGTCCGAGCCCGAGCCGTCCGAGCCGCCAGTGGGACCAGGGTTCGAGACGGAGATCCCCTCAACGTCCGAGGGGCCTGTCGATCTGGTTCGCAACTTGTATGAGTTAAACAATGTACTGGACGTGACCGGCGTGTGAGTGTTATTGTTCCTTGACACCTTAGGTGACGGAGGCGGACCTGGAGGAGGACCGCCGCGAGATGGCGGCAGCGGCAGCGGCCAAGGCCAAGGCGACGGAGACGGAGCCGAAGGCGACGGCGAAGGCGGCGGGGACGTCCGAGACACGGGAGATGGCGGCCAGGCGGCGGATGAGCAAGGGGTAGGAAAAAGGCGAGGGTTGGGCATGAGGCGCTCCTCTTCACCCGATCGGCTTGCATGACATTGATTAATGACTTGTACTTTAATCTGCAGTGCCGGGCCATAGGCTATATTTGAAGCTACTTACTTATACTTCATATTTATTCGCCCGAGTGCAAGCTTCGAGGTCTTGTGCACCTTAATTAAAACCATCTTTTGCCTATCAGTTTTGCAGTCGGATCAAGTCGACGTGCATCATCAGATAATAGTGCCGACTGGCGAATTTGCCGCCGAGAAAAAGGAAGCCTTGCAGAAGAGCTTGCAGTTATGAGTCCTTCATGCATTCCAAAGCACAGCCCATGTTCAAGTGACCCTGTCGCAGGTGACGGTGTGGCCACTGCAGAGCCTTCGTGTGGGACCCAGAGTGACTTTTGGTCCTGGGATTCAGGGGATGTTGTCACGGTTGTGGTTTGGGCTTTTCTGGAGTTTTTGAAGCACTTGAT